ATATCAACAACTATTGGATGCATAACCATCAGATTTGGCAGTCACATACAGGGTCACCTAAGGATCAATCAACTATCAATTTAAAGGGAAAATCTGTTGATCTTCAACTAGCTTTTTATGATTACAATGTGGGTAGTATATGCAAATACAATGTTTAACTTCCCTCTATGCTGCCTGCACTCATTTGCCAGCAAAAGTCCACCGGATGACGCAGTTTGCCTCTCTCAATCCGAATGATTCTAGGCTTGTTGTCCAAACTACAGATTGTACTTTGGCATTTTCTTGTATACTCGCCTCCATGACCAGTCGGATTGAGAGAGGCAAATAGCATACTTTTGTGCAAATGAGTGAAGACCTGGTACTGGCAACATGGAGGGAAGTTATGCTCATGAACGTTTATTTGCATATACTACCCAAATTGTAAGGATACAAAGCCGTTTGGGAATTGGTTTCCCTTTAGGTAACAACATGACCTTCTCTCTGATGCTACCTGCAAGTAAAACCTTAAACATTTTTCTTCACTCGTGACAAAATTCTGTTGTGGAATGGGCATTACATCCTGTTTAACCTCCCTATCAAATGCAAATAATCATGCAGCCACCACCTAGTAAAAGCCTAACAACACAAGTGAACACCCACAAATCTGTAATGACACCAAATCTAGTTTTGGATTCAGTTTGACAAATCTAGTTTACAACTGACAAATGAGGCGTGGTGGTGTGAGCTGAGGTGTGAATAAACCCTTGGGCTAAGCCAGTCGACCCCAAATATCAAGGGTAAGGAGAAAGAGTGTCACCTCCAGCGTCTGGATGTGCTCAAACTTGTCGGCGTCCCACTGTTTGATCTTCTTATCCTTCCCTGCTGTGAAGAACAGATGAGTCTTGGGGACAAACTGTAGGAACATGACGCTGTTGAGAATAAACAGAGTGAGAGAAGAGAGAGAAAGCCAGCCAAGTTAATTGATAAAATAGAAAACCAATCCAAAGCTAGAAAATAGGTAAGTGTGACAAAAAGAAAAAAAAAAAGAAAGCCAGACATAATGGCAGGACAAGAGAGAAAGACACAACGAAAGCTATCAAGCAAGAGATACAGCAAAAAGTATCAAAAGGGGCGGTTGAAAGAAAACTCAACAAACACAGAAAGGCTGACAATAAAGTAAACCAGAACAAGAACACCAAGGACAAAAAGTGAGATGAGAAAACAGATGAGCGGAGAGATGAAAGAACAGCTGGTGTGAAGTCACAGGGCAGTCTGAGTTAACAGGACATAGATCAGAGACCCTGACCATAACACATGAAGTCAGAGCTGGAAGCTCGACAGCCTAGAAAATGATTTCACCAGCACATATTTGATGAATTTGTTCCAATGAACACGTGACTTGGTTTGGGTCTGTGTCGCTGGGCGTTACCTGTCGTCATGAGCAAACATGGAGCGGTGACAGTCGCCGAAGTCCAGACCCCAGATCTTCACGTTTCTGTCAGCTGAGCCGGTGGCGATGATTGTGTTATCCTGGTAACAGAAAACACAAGATCAGAGTCTGGGAGGCACGACTGTGGGTCAAGATGACCTAACTCCAAATCGATTACACAAACTAAACTGTTCGAAGTGGAGACCAACATCAAAACTGAATCATATTCAACGCCAACAAGCAATCAACAATCAAAACACCTTCTGTCAAGCTGGGACACGACCATAATGAGTTGGACCTGAAGATCTGGCTGCTATTATAACACTCACTTTCCAGTAGGGCCGTACCCGACTCAGAATTTTGTCAGCTGAATTGTATTTGGCTGTTCAATGCGAAGATTCAGCTTTCCTTTTTTTCAGTTCAACCCCACATTCACCTCCCATATGAGCCTACATCAGTCCCATATTATACCCATAAGACTCAAGTTATAATGCCTTTCACCATCATCTGTGACGTGAAAACATCAGATTTACACACATTTATAGGAATTTAAAGTTTGTATCCAGCTCATAGTTCAGTTATAAAATCCCAGCACACCACAGAGCATCTCTGCTGCTGGACTGCTGACAGTGCCATCAGCCGGCTGTACCACTGCCACGTTCAAAAGTTGTTTATCTGACCTCACTGACGGTCATCACTGAAGCAGAGAGCATCAGAGCGTACACTGCCCTGCTTCACGCCGCCCTGCGTTTCCATCACAGCTAGTTTTGTGGTTTGTGGTCATTTTGAGACTCTGTTTGTAAGTTTATACAATGACGCAGCTAGAAAACAAAAGTGCAGAAACTCAACTGACAAAATGCGGCTAAACTCTGGGTCTCGTCAAATAATGACTCAAATTGTCAAACCTTTGTTATTAACACTTTTGCAGCTTGAGAGTACTCACATGTGAGATGTCCAGGCAAAGAACAGGCAGCTTGTGTCCATACAGAGACAAGAAGAACTGAAGCAGAGAGGGAGACATGTTTAATTATCAGGTCGACTGAATCCATTAATGAAGCAATTACACACTGAATATGCTATAGTTATTTTATTTTTTAATGTTATGCAATGTTATGTATGTATATGTAATCTACCTTAAGTGTGTCTGTGTAGAAAATCTTCACAGTGCAGTCTAACAGAGAGACAGCCAGCAGTCTGTGGTCAGGAGAAAACTTCACACACAAAACGTCTTCCTCCAATTGCAGAGTCCGTGTGTGCTTCACTGTCAGCCTCCTATATCACACACACACACACAAAATGATGAGTCATGTCTAAGTCTTCTTAACATTTTTGTGTTTTATTAAGCAATTTACAATTGAAAAGTGTTCCATATAAGATTCACCATTAATAATACAGAGCAATGTATAATCATTACAGAGAATATGCTGACTTGCTTCTTGCACATTGTACCTGCTTTGAATAAAAAGCAGACTAATAGTAGAAATCATCTAGTCATTAATGAACCATACTAATATTTGAACACTGAACAAGGTGGGGACTTACTTTTGGGCCGTCCCTTGGTCCTTTATCAGCTCAAACTCCCAGAACTTCACTGTCTTATCTGCACTTCCTGTGACAATTCCCCTCTATGGGAATGACAGACAAAACAAATGAAAAAGCACTATTTATGAATGCTGACTGATACGAAAGAGTAAGAAATAGTTAGAAAAAGAATGCAACTGCAGACAGACAGGTAGTCAGGTTTACCTGGTCTGGGGCGAGGCACAGGGACCACAGGGCTCCATCATGGGCGTCCACAGTCTCCAGGAGGCTTCCTGAGGCCAACTCAAAGATCTGCAGTTTCCCGCTCTGGCAGGAAAAACACAAACACAAAACACTGACTAGATTATTCTTAATAAAAGGGTTTCTACAGGTTTCAGAAGGTTAATTTGAACTTTTTAAAACCATTGTGAATACAATTTAAGAACTGTTTCACATCCAAACTGGTTGGTTCCGTTTTGGTCTCTTGTTTTAGTTGTTACAGCATCAATACAACATTTAAAAGTGAGACTGGAAAATTTAACTTTATACAAATAATGTTAACTTCATTAATCCAATACATTTTAAGACCTGTCAAAATCATATTTAAGACATTTTAATAAATTTTAAGGCCTAAAAGTCAGATTAAAGTCAAAAAGTCTATCTGCGCTAGCCACCTCCATTCCACAGATTCTTCATTGAAACCTCTTAGAAAAGTGAAATCTACACTAGGAATGGATGATAATTATCCAGACATACATTTTTGTCTGGTAATGGGAAATGTATTTTATAATAAATTATTGGGATGATTCAATTAAAGCAGATAAATTATTGACTTTATGTTCAATGAAACTTTTTCTACAAAGAATATCATAGTTTGGCTCCAAAAACCTGACATACTTCTACCATAAACCATGTTGCTGAGTGTCAGGGTGAGCAGGTGTGTGCGTCCAAATACCTTGGTCCCCAGAATTATCTGTCTGTCTCCAGGCACGAAGAGGGAGCAGAGGGCGTAGTCACAGGCCATGGTGCGAATCACCTGCAGAGTTGACCTGTAAGAGGGGGCAGGACATCACGTTAGACCTAAGGCCACTCAGTAAGACCTAAAAGACATTGCCAGGACTTGCTGGGACTGAAGCAGTCTCACCTGTTCCAAACTTTGACAGTGTCACCAGAGGCGGAGAGGACGGCCAGGTTGTCCGAGCTGAAGGCCAGTGTGCGGACGTCCGTGCGGTGGCCGCCGATTGTGAGGCGAGCCGTCTTATTGGCTGTGGGGGTCTTGTCTGAAGTCTTCAGGCTGTAGGTCTCGACGGTATTGTTCTGTAGCAGCAGCGCCACCTTCAGCTCGCCACCAACACATGACAGGCATTCCACCCATCTGAGAGGGGGTGGAGGAGAGGTGTGAGGAGTTAGGGGATAAAGATGCAAATAGTGGCTTTCATCAGTGTTTGGAAGTCTGGATGAATGATGGAGCTTCTGAGGGCTTGGTTTCCACACTGACCTGATCTTGGCGGAGGCCTTGATGTTGGTCAGTCTGATGATCTCGTCCTTCAGCATCCTCTCCACCACCGGCTCTGCTGCCTCCTCGCCTGCATCTTCCTGAGCTCTGCAGCAGGGGGCAGCCATACAACAAGCTTCAGCGTGCTGAACTCAAAAACCCCCACGAGTACTGCATACACACTACAGCGCAGCAGTATTTAAAAGTTGTAGAAGTGGATGAAATGGTAGATAAAGTATGTAAAATACTGGTATAAAGGTTAGTACTGTTATCAGCAGTAATGTTATCCACCTCTGGTAACAGTAAAAATAACCTTGCAAACCTTCCAAATGAACTCAACAGAAGTAACTGCTTTCTGAGCTTACTTAGCTGCCTTCTTTTTGGCTTTCTTCAACTTCTTTGTCATTTTCTTCTGCACTTCCTCCTCTGACAGCACAGTGAAAAGCTCCAGGATTGAATCATTGCCCTGTTGAAGGGAGGAGAGATATGCATACCATTAATAGCTTAAAATAGCAATATCAATGTGTTTTAAAATCACAAACTCTGATGATATAAACAGAGTGATAAAAACTGACAGCCAGCTGAACGCAGACCAGCACATTCATTCTGTCTGTGCCGGTATGAGAGGAAATAACTAAAAAACATTAAGAAAAAACAAAACCAGGCAACAACAGTTTTCCTTTCATTGTGAATCATATTAAACAATATTTAATTGATAAGTTGTCAGGTTGTGCTCTAAATATAAGGAGAAACTAAACAAAATGAGCAAATTCAAATAATGCCTTCAGTGCTAAATCAATGTGGTAAGTTAGCCACTGATTAGGGCCTACAAGATCCAACAGTGCTGGAAAACCCCCAAACTATGGATGAGGTAGGCCTCAGATAGGCCTAACGCACCACACAAACATCTGAGCTCCTACCTGAGATTGTAAAAGAAAGAGTGTAGAAAATAAGTGAGCTTTTGCTGTGGCTATGATGTAATTTCCATATCCATCCTGAGGCACTTTCATAAACTAAAATATTTACTATATCTCAGTTTATGTTGTAAAACTCTTTGTTAAATTCACAGATGGTTCAGGATTCCCGAAGGAACCTTGACATCCTCTGCATTGTTTATCCCATTCATTTTATGGCTACACTCACGTGGCAAGCGATGACTCTGGCCTTGTTGTCCATTGTCATGGAGACAACTCTGTCCCTGGCCTCTCTCAGGATAGAGCCGGCTTTTTTACAACTCAGGATCCGCTGAGAGGGGAAGAAAGAGGGAGAGGACAAAGTTTAACATCAAGTACAATCAGAAAGAGATTTATTTGAGGTTGAGAAGGTGCACTGCTGTTGCTGGAAAGGCAAACACTTTCCAAAGCTCACGTTCTAAATGACTCTGTTGTTGCATGCTCTGAAAGGGTAATAGCGTGTATCACTGCTCCTGTTGTCTGAATGTTAACAAGACTTAACAGGACATACAGTCTATTAATGTATGTAATGATACAGGTTTATCTAAAATGGCCTCAAATGAGACATGCATGACATGCATTTTATTACAGTATTTTCTCACAAGAACACATTAATGACTACTCCGGTACCTCTTCCGGACTCTCGTCCAGCCCTTCTTCGTTGTCTTCGTCGTCGTCATCCTCCAGCAGAGTCTTCCCCTTCTTCACCTTGGGTTCACCCTCAGTTTTCTCCTGAGCAGGATGCAGACAGACAGACAGAGCCTTTACAACAACTCAGGCAGCCTCAGTTTTTCCTTATTTATCCAATGTAAAAACACATTTAGGTTCATCATCTTCTTCAACTGAGCTGGAATAATTACAACAGGCTACACAAAAGGGATCTGTGTCAACCATGTGACGGTATGCATCATTAGGCTAACACCAAAGGCATATACATGTCACCTAAAGTTCATCCAATTTCATGCTACATGCACACTACATTATGAGACCATATCCAGCAGGTCAGCAGAAACACTGATGTTGACTGCATTCATTATTCATTTCATAATACACATACAGTCTTTATTAACTTAACTTAGGTTATTCTTTATTAATCCCTGTAGGGACATTCATTTACTGCATTTGACCCATACTAAGTACTAGGAGCAGTGGGCAGCCACAGTGCGGCATCCGAGGGACCAACTCCAGATCTGAGCCTAACCTAACATACATGTTTTTGACGTTGGGGGAAACTCCACACAGAGAGGCCCTGCCTCAGCCGCGATTAGCTCTAGTAAGTATTTAAATTCTTGTGACTCCCTTGTGATACTTAATCAGACTTCAAATTCAGCTTCTCTAATATGACATTTCATTATGCACACAAAAGTATATGAATACATTGTTTGTATAGTAGAGTTTGTGAAGTACATAAAATAAGTTTCTTTCTATTTAATTCTTTCTTGGTAAAGTTTCTGTAGGTGCTTTATTTGGCCATGATGGCTATCAGTGCTCAAGCTAACTTCCTAGTTTTTCCTCTGTATCTCAGTATACATCGTTTTATTTTTGTCCGTGTGTGTAGCATGAAGCATGAGCTGTGTTCTTCCTCACCTCCTGCAGGTAGCTGATGTCCCAGGCTCGGAGTTCACTGTCTGCTGAGCCTGTTAACAGCCTGTACTCCTGGTTCAACAGCACCATGCTCCACAC